GGGGGTGGGCGGGGTAAGGGGGGGTTTCCTCAGTGATCCGGCAGGCGATGGACTTCATAGCCATGTCCTGCTCCTTGACTCCTCAGGACGCACCACATTTGAGACGGGGCCCATCCTGGAGCTGGAGCAGTGGATCGACAAATACTCCAGCCAGCTTCCCCCTCTCACAGCTTTCATTTTGCCAGTAGGTACCGGGCAGCCTCAATCCGGGAGGTGGCTGCAGGCCAAGTGTCTTTACAATAACATATGGACATTGAATAAGTCCTTCTCTTTAATTTTTTATAGTGACAGAGCTGTCCCTCATTTACTCTGCCCTCCCAACCCTGTCCATTCTGGAGGGGGGTGCCCAGTGGGTGCGCCCTCGTAGGGCACCCTGCATGTAGAACGTTGCCTGCTGGGGGGCAGGGTCCACCTATCCATGCGAGGAGCTCCCTGTCTGCATTGGGCACACCTCTGCTCCAGCCAATGCCTGCTTTCTCCTTTCAGTCTGGAGGCAAGAGCAGCTCTGCTCTGCATTTCTGTCGGGCTGTGTGTCGCCGAGCTGAGAGACGGTAAGGGGCCCGAGGGAGAGGGGGAGGGAACCTGGTGGAGCTGAAGATGGGTCACTTCCATTGTCATCCAGCCACCCATCAACAGACCTCCTGGTCTGCCCCATCCACATAGAATGTCTACATAGACTGGCAAGGACACCAGGTCAAGCTGCAGTGGCTGTGACATGCTGGCTTGGGACGCAGCCTTAGGTCCTGCAGTGTGTTGATCGTGTAATGTTGATCCTGTGTGATGCTGTGAATCCTTTTCCAGCGTGGTGCCTCTCGTCCAGATTGGTGAGACGGATGCAAACGTGGCCAAGTTCTTAAACAGGTACTTAGGTGGAATTTGGAGATCTCTCTTCTCTGGAAAATGAGACATTATGGGAAGCAACAACAACAGAATGGGCCTCACTCATTCACTTCATATTCACTGAGGATGTGCTGTGTGCCAGGCACTGTGCTGGGCATGAGATACAGCTGAGAGGAGACAGCCAGGCAAAGCGAGCTCAGGACCATCCAGGCTCAGGGCCCCAGCACAGGACCCAATTAGCTGGCTTGCCTGAGGCTCTGCACTCAGTCTCTCCAGCCAGGGCCACAGCTGGCCCAAGGCCTTCTCCACTGGGTCCTGCTCCAGCATTGGCTCATGCAATTTTAGTGTAGGCAAGGCCAGGACCTAGGAGCAGGCCAAAAGCTGGGGGACCCTTGGGAGCTGTCCTGGGTGTCCAGAAAGTGGCCTCAGCCAGGATCTGGAGTGGCCCCTTATCATGGCCCACTGCTCCCACAGCAACATGGCCTGGGCTTTGATCGGTCCTGACCAACTTCTTTCCTCCTGTGAGGGGAGTAGGCCTCAGGGGGGTAAGGATTGTTGCATTTATGGTCACAGCAGTGACTCCTTGGGGGAGCCCCTGTAACCACAAAGGGACAGGGACTGAGGTGGATCTGCCCTGGCACAGTCTGGAATGTGTGGGTTCTTCACTTCGTGCAGGAAAGATTGCCCAGGTGATTTTGAGAGCACGTTTATTGGCTCTCAGGGAAGCTGGCTTCCAGTGCCATCCATCAAGCCAAGTTGGCCGTTACTCTTCGTCCTACCTGGTGCTCCCGGGGGCACGTGATTTATATTTCCTCCTTGAAGGCTAATTTTGGAAGGACCCAGTTAGCATTGATTTCTCCTTTCAGATCATTCTATGTGTTTCTCTCTTCCCCTCCAGACTCAGCGACTATCTCTTCACGTTAGCCAGGTACGCAGCCATGAAGGAGGGGAACCAAGAAAAAATATACAAGAAAAATGACCAATTGGACTGAACCTGAGGCACTTGGAAATAATGGAAAGGGGGAGCTTTGTAGACCCCTCGGTGGTGACCCACGGGGAAAAGAAGAGTTTGCCCTTTGTGTCCTAATTCTTGAAGATCTCACCCAGAGGGATGGAAGCTGGTCTTTTGTCCAGACTCAGCTGCCTTCAGACCCCCTGCCACTTCCCTCAGGGAGCTGAGGCTGCTGGAGAAGTCTGCCCCTGCTCCCCCAGGGCCTCCTTGGTCTTAGAGGGATGGGAGTGAATTCAGTATTGCAGAAAAGAAAGGTAAAGTGATGGTTCTAATGAAAAGGAGCCGCACAGAGAAAAGAATAAAAGTGAGAAAGGCTTGAACCGAGAGTGTGTGTGAGAGAGAGAGGGAGGTGGGGAGAGAGAGAGAGAGGACCCTTCCACTGCCAGCTCCGCTTGTTCAAGGATTTGGAGTGGTACCAGAGGCCCTTGGAAATGTAATTGTGATTTACCTGTGCCAAAGGGGCTTTAAATGTCACAGTTATAAAGGGGAAGGCAGACAGGATTTGGAAGTTTAGTCACCTCTGAGCCACCCATCACTGCCTAAATGTGGGGAAACAATAGCTGAGATTGACAGGTGAGGCCTTGGAAACACTCGACTTGGGCCCAAGTGTGCATGGCGGGTGTGCATTCTGGAGAATCCTCTCTCAAAGGGGATCCTTTCTCCATCCAGGGGTGAAGACCCTGGTGAGAGAAACACCACTGCTTAAAGGAGGGCCTGTCCTTCCAGGCAGGTGGTGTCAAGGGGCTGAGGGGGAACATATTCAGCTCAAGACAGTAAGATCTTCAGTTTCCAGTGGGGCCGACACAGACGTGACTTCTCTCCCTGATGTTGCACTTGGCTGGTTTATGCCTCAGATCCATGCCATGGCTGTATTTTCTCTCACTTGTCAGCACCGCTCCCTCCCGCTATGAAACGACACTGCCTGTGCCAGCTGTGTCCTTGGGAAGGGGGATATTTATGAAGGGCGAGGAGGCAGCCCTGGGAACCTGAAGATTCCACACCGCTAATTGCAGGAAATGACTTCAGAAGGGCAGGCTCTTGCTAACCCGCAGGGCTGAAATGCCTGGTGAACTCCGTCCAGCAGTCATTTATTGACTGAGTGCTTGCTTAGCATGAGGCACGGGCGAGGCTCAGGAAGGCGGTAGCAGCCGCATTCAGCCAGCATCGAAACCATCAGTCCCGTGCATATTTTTGCTTTCACCCTCACCACCTCGCCTGCAAATTTTGCTGGAGGAAGTTACATGTCCCTTCTGGGTCCTTTCGGCCCCAGCGGGCTGCGGTGGCCCTCTTAAGCCTTGGGCAGAGCGGCTAAGGTGCCGGTGACAGGGAAAACCTTCCTGGTTCCTCCTGTAGGGCCCAGTGGTGAGCCGGGTCTGGTACACAGCCGGTGCTCAGTGTTTGTGAACAGAACTGAAACAGTAAAAGCATGAACATTTCAGGAGAGGCCTCCGGCGTGCCCCACAGCGCTGGCACTCGGGCTGCGCCTGGAGGATTTTGTTCCAAGAACTCGCAGCAAATGACTGAATGCACTCAGTTCTGCCTGCTCCTCAAAATCTTTCAGGAAGGAGCAGGACGCATATAGTAAAACAACCGTCCCACGCTCCTAGCCACGGTGAGACACCCCACAAAGGACCAGAGAAGCTCTTAAAGTAAATACAGCGTCCTAAACTGATGCTCTTTGAAACAAGGCAATTTGCCTGTCGCAAAATCCCGTCCCCACCAGCCCTTGCTGGGAGGGGCTGTCACAGGCCAGATGTTAACCCAGGTCCCCAGGCCCCCTCTGCATCTGCCTTCTGCCCACAAACCCCTCTGAGAGACAGCCCAGGTGCAGGGCGGAATTGGAATCTCTGGAGGTGTGCTCTGTGCCACCACCCTGGGAAAAACAGGAATGCTGCTTCAGGGGCCAGGAGGATGGGTTGGCTTGAAACCATTACTCTCCTGCAGTGCTCCACATGCAGAAGCCATGTGGGAGCCTGAGGCAAAAGGCAAAGTGTGCGCCCCATGTACACTTACCAAGACGGCCTCCCATGTCTTGAACCTGGTCAGAAAAATTATAGAAGGCTCTGCAGTTAAAACACATGACTCTATAAAGCCACATGTCACCCAGTGTGCACACCACTGTCAGCCCTCATGAACGACTGTCTCCATTACCCAGTAAAGCAGGGCTGGGAAAGGGATGCAAGTTTTTATTTAAAACTGATACCTTGTTGATCATAGATATATATATATTTTTTGCATAATCACGATTTTTAAAAATACTGCTTGAAAATATTGCTTATCGTGATGACTGGGGTTTTGGGCACTCCCATACATTTTGCACCCAAGAAAGTGCCTCACCTGCCTCACCCTAGCTCAGGTCCAGCTCTCGGGAACGCTAGAGATGAGCTGGAGGTTGGACATTCCGTCAGAGAGAAACCCACCATGATAACGATGCCAGCCAGTGTCATGCCAAGGCCCCGAGCTCCCCAGACTTCATCTCCTTTAAGCCTCACAGCAGCCCTGAAGGAGGCACTCTCTAGCTACTCTTGCTTTGCAGGTGAGGAAACAGGCTCAGAGGAACACACTCGTCTTGGGTCAGCGCCATGATGTGGGCCCAGGATGTGGCCTTGTGACTCCTGGCCCAGTGCTCCTGGCTTCCCCCAACTGCCACTTGACAGTCGTTTTAATCAGCCTGGGCCTCTGAGAACAATGTGAGGCGCTAATAGATTCTGCTGTCTCATTTCTCAACCTAGTTTCCCTTAACTGATATTTCATGGCTATTGTTAATGCGCATTTTTCACCGAGTAATTTTCACAGCCCGAACTTGTAACACATCCCAATGACAAACGTCCCCAGTTCCGAGTTCCCCATCAGCCACAATGTCACCCTCGCCTCCTCCCTAACACCTTCCTCCAGCAGCCCATCCAGTTTTATGATCGCTCTGTCCCAGTGATCACTACTGAACCTTTAAGAACCCAGACGCATTTCAAGTTTAATTGAATAAAATTCTTTGTATAATAAATTCTGCATGAATGCTACATAAGTCAGTGCCTAGGAGGGCCTGTGGCCCACCCCTTCCTTCAGACCAGGCCTGGTCCCATCTTTTTTATCAAGGGGACCCGATGCACCTTTGCAGCCCCTGGGGGTGCCGCTTTCATTTGCCTTGGCCTGTTTTCTTCTCTGGGAGTCCCTTATGGAAAACAGTGCTTGAGCCCAGGGAATGGGCAGGTTGGAGACACTTGGGAACTTTGGGGATGTCCCTTGTGTTCTCCCACAGCACAGAACCAGGAACTTCTGATGAAGGCTTCCTGAGAGATGCATGCACACGTGTCCACCATTTGCACACAATTTGAAGAAGTCGGTGGGAGCCCTAGGTAAGAATCTGTCCTAGAATAACCAGTGCAGCGCCCTCTTCAGGAGCGGTTGGGACTCACAAGGCTGCCTGCTCCAGCAGCCACTCTGCGGGGTGTGTATAGCTCCCTCCTTCAAGTGTGAGAGGGGCGTTTGGGGCTGGCAGGAGGCTGTTGGGTGACCTTCGATGCTTGTCAGACTGTGCAGGACAGTGAACAGCAGCCTTAGGCAGTTCGGGACCAGCTCTGTCTCTTTCTTAGCTTCATGACTCTGTGCAAGTCACCCCACCTTTCTCAGACTTGTTTCTTCATCTGTAAGATGGGAATGATAACACAGTAGCCCCCACTTGTTCACGGGGGTACGTTTTTAAGCCATATCACCATGGCAACACGAGGGCAACCTCCACTGACTCCCTCAGCAGCCCCATCAGGTGGGTATTAGAATCTTTGTTTCAGATACAGAAACTGAGGCGCCTTGGCCAGCGTCACACAGCAAGTAAGAGGCCAAACCTGGATTTGAACTCGGATCTGTCTGCTTCCAGCACTTAGCTCTCCACAGTGACACAGACTGCTCCAGGTCTCTCCGTGGGCAGCAGCAGAGTCAGGACAAGGACCCCAGTCTTCGGGTTCCCACGGGGGAGGGGCCATCTTGGGATGTGACTGACGATTAGGTGGGGTGGGGGGGAGAAGAGGGTACCATAAACCCAGGAGGACCCTCCTGACCCCACCACAAGCTACCCGAGGAAGGGTGAGAAGCAGGCGCCAGTTCAGGGTACACGGGTGAGGGCAACCTGGGGAACTGATCGATTAAATGGCAGAAAGGCATCCAGCTGACCCAGGACCTGGGGGTGGCTGGGGGACCTCTCTCCCCACACCGGATGCTCCCAAGGCACGAATCCTTCTGCCCACATCCTTCCCCAGCGAGCGAGTGCCTTTATTTACGATCACCTTGGAAGGGTCGAGCAGACATATGTTGCTAAGGGTCGTCTATTCTTGTTTATAAAATTTATGGCTTCACCTCGATTACACACTGTCAAAATGGGAAGGATTGGCCCCAAAGTCTCTTGCCGCATGACTGCCTCAGACGTGCGTACATCTGTTAACTCTGTAGGAGCTGTAGAGGGAGATAAGGTTGACGGTAACTCACGAGCTCACTGTCCCGTCACAGGTGCGGGCGGCCAGCTTGAGAAAAGACGCCTGCGTGGGAACAGAGCTTCAGGTCTGCCAGTGGCCACGGCAGGTGGCATCGGGATCCTGCCCCCGCCGGCAAATGGACTCTGTCAGAAGACTTCAGGCTGGGGAGTGGGAGGGGAGGAACTCGATTCTGATGGCCCCAGGGGTCCTGCCACAGGACCAGGCAGCTGGAGAGAGTTCCAAGCCTGTGGCTCTCCACCTGCAGACTTCAGCGGGGAGAGAGAAACGTTGACTCTCCACTGTCGGGGGGATTGGAGGTAGGTACGACCTTTCAGGAGGGCAATTTGGCAATGCAGACGGAAGTCCTAGAAACCAGCAATTCCACAGCTGAGAATCTCTCGGAAGAAAAGAGATATGTTTGTGGAGCCATTAGGAATTTTTTTCAGTGCAGTGCTGCTCACTAAAGTGAAAATTTGGAAACAAATGTCCAACAATTGGGAGCTAATTATTAAATAAGTAAAATATTTAACAATAAGGGGCTATAAGAAATACCATAAGGCTACTGAAAATGATGGTGCCTATAAGATTTATTACTATGGAAAATTGTTCACAATCTATGAAGTAAAAAAAACACCACCCCACCAAGTTATAAAATGATATATAGTGGATCCAAATCCTGTAAAAGAAACATATGTGTGTATACCCCACAGAAAAAAAAATGCATGGAGCCCTTCCATATATTAATATTTCTCTCTAAGTCATGGGACGAAAAGGTGTTTTAACTTTCATTTTTGTTTGGATTTTCCTTTTTTTCTTTTTTAACAATGAGTCTGGGTTGGACAAAGGCTTACTCGTGTAATAAACATGAATGAAAAAGAAAATAAACTGACAAGCGCTGGCAGTACCCTCCTCGGCCCGGGATCTCTCACTTCAACAGTGTTTGGACGGAACAGACCCAGGGTCGCCCCTTCCAGCTCCGCCCAGCCCCCAACCTCTTTTCCAGCCACCACCTTCAGGACCACCCCAGCCGTCCTCAGCCTCGGAGTCCAGCCAACACTGTTTTTTGACCTTAACTCCTCGCTGCCGAACAACCACAAGCTCCCAAATTCGTCAGGATTATTCCACCGAGGTGGAGGCTGCCATCAACCACCCGGCCAACCTGCATCTGCAGGCCCCCCACACCTACCTCTCTCTGGGCTTCTATTTCGACCCTGCGACAATGCGGGCCACTTCTTTCGTGACTTGGCGCAGAGAAGTGTGAGGGCGCTGAGCGTCTCTTAAAGATGCAAAACCAGCGCAGTGGCCGAGTTCACTTCCAGGACGTGCTGAAGCCTTCCCAGGATGAGTGGGGCAGAACTCGGGACGCCATGGAAGCCGCTGTTGCCCTTGAGAAGAACCGGACCCAGGCCCTTCCGGATCTGCAGGCCCTGGTTCTGCCCCCGCAGACCCTCAGCTCCATCACCTCCTGGAGAACAGCTTCCTGGGCGAGCAGGTGAAACTCATGAGACGGGCCACACCTGACTCACCTCCGCGGGCTGGCGGGCCCAGGCTGGGCGGGCAAGAATCTCCTTGCAAGGCTCGCCCTCAAGCAGGCCAGGAGCCTCTGGAGCCCAGAGGCCTTTGCGGGGCCCCTCTGTATCCCCCCTGGTGTCTGGCTTTTGCCTGAGCCTCTCCCTGAAACCGCTCAGCATCTTTTAACTACCCTGTAGCCCTCTCCCATGCATTGGACCAAATGGAAACAACAAAGTTTTTGCAGCAAAAAAAAT